TTCTTGCAATGCAGTTCATGCCCAACCCACTTCAAGGGCCTAGTTGCCAACCTCTGGAGACTTATACCTCATATTCTGGGAAGCTTTTTGGTGCTTCAATCCCCACTCATTACTGGAATCCAACCCCAGTGAAAATCCAGAACTCTTTGTAGTCAGGTTTTCTTTTCTTTGCCCTTCTTGGCTCTGTGTTGCTTCTCGGAAGAGAAAAGTGTTTCTTGCAGTTTCAGAAATGTTTCATGACCAAAGAAATCAGGGATGCCCAGGAAATTCCATGGAATGGAGTAGAATGCTATGTACCTGATTGCTAAGATGTGGTTGAAGTAGATGATGGAGACGACTCATACACACATCCTATCAAGTATGTGTGTTATACTTTACAGAATAACTATCTGCCCAAAGAAGAATCATTAAAGATTTGATGTGGACATCCATCTCTAAAATGTATATTTACATAGAGTGATCTACCAAAAACCTTAAGTAACTACCAATTGCTGGGGACAATTGGATTAAGTTTTCACTGTTTCTTTAGAATTATTTAACCCAATGCTGTTTTCTACATATTAGAAAACTACCTTGATAATAACAACTTCAATTGTTATTAAGGTTGACATGACTGTAGCAATTTCTGAATTGTCAACCCTGCCAAGCTCAGCCTATGTAAGTGGATAGGGTGGGCCCTGGAGGGTATGGGGGTGGAATTAATGCTTGTGGTCTAACAAAGTCAGAACACGTTTTTAAATGAAAGAAATGCTACTGTACATGTTTAAGGATGAGGTGATTGCCCCACAGATGAGACTCAGAGTTGCTACTGACAAACTTATTCCCAAACACTATTTGCTTACCTCAGACATAAAAATCCGACCATTAAATTTCTTCATCTTGAAAAGAAAAATACCCATGAGCTTTTCAACTTGGTACCATGTTGCAAAAGATGGTCCCATTCTTCTCTATGTGTCAATTTGATTTGGATGGATGAGATGGGGACGTGGGTGAGCAGGTGAACACCTAAGGAGACTGGGGAAAATACAAAGCCTCACAGCTTTGTCTTCAGCAATCCCTACATCCATACAACATGGTTACAAGGTTGGCATCTCACACCTTTATCAACCAAAGAAGTACATGCTTAGCAGAAAAATTAATCCAGGCAGCGAGGGAAGGACAAATGCCACAATAACAATTTCCTCCACAAGCCTCACTCTTATTCTAGAGTTCCATGACAACATATCTACTATTTACTTCCCTTTTCTCCTTTTTCAGGCCCTGGCAGGGAAAGGGAAAACATTCTCAAATACCAAGTATACTGCAGTTATATAGTCAATGTGTTTTCAGCAAATACATTAATTTGAAGATAATATTTTATATCATTTTTCTTCATTCAGTAAGTAATGTTAGAGCAACTATCTCCAACATTTCCAACATCCTTCCCTGTAAAGAAGCATACATACACACACATACACACACACACACACACACAAACCCTGATTCCCCTAGACCCCACATCATACCCTATACATAAATCATATGTTTAAATGTGAAAGCGAAAACCAGAGATCAACTCAAAGAAAGTAGAGGAGACTTAGAGGATGCAAATATATTTTAAAACATGACATACACATCAATCACACAAGAAAAAAGTTAACTCATCAAAATTAGAAACATATTCATATTCTTTAGAAACATATTCATTGTGAAATTGTTTAAAAGGCAGGCTACAGCCTGAAAGAAAAGATGATACAGACATGAACACTGGGTTAGTCGTCTTCCCATCATTGTGATAAAATACTTGAGTTAATCAAATTGAAAGGCAGAAATGTTGGTTCTGGCACATGTTTTCAAAGGTTTTAGTCATCTATCACTTCAATGTGACTGCAGCATATGATGGAGAAGACCTATTCCCCTCATGGTGTCCAGGAAGCAAGGTGAAAGGAAGAGTCACAATCCCAAAGTCCCCTTTAAAGAGTATGGGACTCATAATCTCACTAGACCCTGCCTCATGAAGTTTCCACCACTTCACTGGGAATGGGTAACAAGCTTTAACAATCCTTTAATATAGGAGCCTTGGAGGGACATTTAAGAGCTAAACTATGATATACACATAAGCATCACGCACACACATACACAATCTGACAGAGAACTCACATTCAGATAATATACAGAACTATCCTGAAAATACACCCATCCCTTGGTTTCAGTGTGGATGTATTAACAATTTTAAAATCAGATGTTCAAGACCTGTATGTAAATAGCATAGTGCTTACAGATAACTCATATATAATATATACACATATGTCTATATATATATATGCATATTTTTAAATAATCTCCAAGTTGTTTATAATACTCACTAGGTTTGAACTGTATGTGAATAATTATTTTTACATTTATAGAATAATGGTAAGGAGGAAAGTTTCTATATGTTTAATACAGTTATTACTTTTTTGAATGTCTTCAAACTGCAGTTTGTTGCAGTTAGTTGTAGAACCTGTGAATATGAAAAACTGACTTTACAAAAAATAAAATAAAAAAAAGAAGGGAAAAAATTGAATCAGAGGAATGCTATAAAAGAAAATGTCGGGGCTGGGAAGGTGGCTCAGTGGTAGAGCGCTTGCCTTGCATGCCTGAGGCCCTGGGTTTGATTCCTCAGCACCACATAAGAACAAAGCCGGAAGTGGTGCTGTGGCTCAAATGGTAGAGCGCTAGCCTTGAGCTGAAGAGCTAAAGGACAGTACCCAGGCCCAGAGTTCAGGCCCCACGACCGGACCCCCCCCCCCCCAAAAAAAGAAAGAAAATGTCGGGCTGGGAATGTGGCTTAGTGGTAGAGTGCTTGCTTAGCATGCATGAAGCACTGGGTTCAATTCCTCAGTACAGCATACACAGAAAAAGCCAGAAGTGGAGCTGTGGCTCAAGTGGTAGAGTACAGAGCCTAGGCCCTGAGTTCAAGCTCCAGGACTGGCAAAAAAAAAAAGTCCAAATAGTCAACAAAACACATAAAAATGCTAAAAATTATTGTTCATTAGGGAAATATAAATTAAAATCACAATGAAATACATTAAATATCCATAAGGATGGCTAAATTTAAAAACAAATGTGTCTCACACCTATAATCCTAACTACTCAGGAGGCTGAGATCTGAGAATTAGAGTTTAAATTTCACAGTAATTTTTATGCTTTGTGTTAGCCCGTATATAAGATTAAAAGAAAAGGGAGAAGCATTATACATTTATGATGTTATCTGGTGATACCCAGCTGTTCCAGGTTTGGTATGCGTAAAGTAAGAAAGAAAAGGAAAGAGGATTTTTCTGTTAACATCTTAACCATAGTCTCTTTAGGATTAGGAATGCTGGGAGAGAATGCTGAGGGAAAGAATTAGGGTGAAGAAATAATCTTGCTGAAAGACAAAGGGAGGGTGATGCTAACCACAACCTGAGGCAGTAATGAGGCCCAGGAAATGAGAAAACACAGAGACAGGTATAGAGAAAAAATAACTTAAGTGGGGACCAGGGATCCCAAGGCTCACCCCGACTTCCCTCAAGAAAGTATATTTATTTGAGTTCACAAAGGGAAGGTTATCATACATCCATGCAAAAATAAAGCATCTATACTGACATTACAATCAGTACCAAAACAAAGTTTAGGAGAAACACTGGTTCCCTTATCATTTAGAGACAGGAGACTGTGACCCAGGCAAAATGTGTGTAGTTCCACATTTGTATGTATGAAGAATGTCTCTGGAGGATACACAAGAAGAACTGAAGTGGAGTTGGGAGAGATTAGAGAGAACAAGGAAAGGGGTGACATTGATCAAGATGCATTACACTCATAACCTGACATGTTGAATTGAAACCTCCTTGTACAACTACTTAAAGATAATTAAGAATAACTATAAACAAAGTTTTACAAAGAGCTGTGACCACACCAGCAGTTGTTGGAAAAATTCCTATATTACAAACTTGTCAGTTCCTTTTCAACATTTTCATCATCTGAGTCTATTTCATATTGCCAAAATTGAATAAAGCAATATAAATACATATCCATACCACATAGCAATTTAGCTGCTGTGTAAGTTGCCTGAAGAAGCTTCACACAGTGCAAAATATAACCTAGTTCATGTAACCTAGTTTGGGTTGTTCCCTAGGAACAACCCAAATTCTTAGCAAGGTCGGGCTGAGTGTTGAAGTACAGAATAGCATGTAGCAGTTAGAATGAAGACACAGACCCAGCATGGACATGGGAACACTCAAAAACATGTTGGTTAGAAAAAAAGACATTCTATAGAGTAGGTAATTAGCATACACTAAAAATGTATAAGTGGGCTAGAAAGATACCAAACACACAATGCTACTTACCTCTGTGGATGTTAAGTAAGGGCCTTGCTTCTTTGCTGGGGAAATGTGGGTAGTGTAAGAGCTTCCTCCAGCCCTGTAATATTTCATGGCTTCAAAACAACCACCAAAAAAAAAAAAAAAAAAAAAAAGCAAATAAAACAAGATTTTTAGTTCTGAAGGATAGAAATATAATTTTTGTTATTTTATTTGCATTTGGTCATATTTCAAATTTTTCTGAACATTAAAAGTGAAGTAAACATATACAGCCAAAACCCTTCACCTAGGTTTCTTTTACTGTCTTTAAAAAGTTAGATGTACATGGATAAGAACAAGTAAATCTGATAAACCAGTTTTTTTTAAGTGAATTCTAAGCCTTGGTATTATTACTAAGTATCCCTTAAGAAATTTTTTTTTTGTTAGGGGTTAAGGTTAAAATCCTTGGAAACTAGTTTTTCATGTGGTATTTCAGATGACACAAGAGGATGGACTTATTGGCAAAGAGCATGCAGGGAGGAGCCACATCCATTTCTTCATTTCCCCAGCACCTCTTCTTCCCCAGTTTGCTCAGCAAATCTTCTTGGGAGTGGAGGGAGGGGCAGGAAGATTTGCCCTGGGGCATTTATTTTCACAGTACCTCTCTACTATTTTCAGTAGAACAGTCTATAGGTGGAGCTTTGGTACACCTTTTATAGTCGAGTCTCCACGCTTAGCTGATACACTTCAGTTCTTGTCCAGCAAGGAAGCAAATAGCCAAAATGATTCCTGGGGGCTTGACAGAGGCCAGACCTGCCACTCCAGAAATCCAGGAGATCGCTAATCAGGTGAGTTGAAGCATTTCCGAAAAAGGGTAGATTCAAAAATCTCAATGTGACCCTGTGTTAAGAATGTAGGTAAATATGAAAACCAGAGTATCAGGAAATGTGTGGTTTTGTTCAAACTTTTGTACAGCTAAGGAGAACAAAGATGGCCCTCCAATAATCCCAACACTACAAGAGTGATTTTGAAGCTCCAACACACTGCCGTTGTACTGGATCATCTCTAAAGCTTTTACTTAAATGTGGGACTATAGGAATACTTATTTAATTACTTGTGAAGTTTTTCCAGTCTCATTAAATGAAGTGGACATGTAATGAAAGCCTAAGGTGGCTAGACTTTGAATGCACTGAAGGGGAACTTTTTTTATGGGTTAAATGAAGTACAGTATTATAAAGATGACCAGTTTTAAATGTCTTTCACATTTGCCTAAATAGAGAGCATTTTCATATTTTTTAGCAGAGAATAATAAATTAGTAGAGGAAAACAAGTAGCATAACCTATGGTAATTCTAGGATGTTATAAGCTGCTAAATTAATTAAATAGAACTCTTGATGTTCCTTGCAAGTTGAGACATTTTTCTAAGTGTTCTAAGTGCTTCATTAGCTATCACCTATACAATAAAAAGTTATGGTTTCACACAGTTTCTAAAAAGAAAATACATATAAATTACCACGATAGGTTTGTAATAGGTTGATTCATGTTCTCACATCATTCTTTCTAGTTCTCTCTCTCTCTCTCTCTGAAATGTTACTCTGTGACACGAGAAAACCAGATCTGCTTTGTGTGTGTGTGTGTGTGTGTGTATGTGCGCATAGAAGAGATGTGATCCCTTATGTTTAGAGCATGGAAAAGTCTGGAAGGGGCTAGATAATAATAAGTTGATACTAATTTTAATCCCTGTATTAAGTTTTTTTCTCAAGCTTGCTCCGGCATGTGAGTTACCTATTACTCTTGATAAAAAGCTGGTGACTCAGCAGGGCTGGTTGGGCCTGAAATTCTGCATTTCTACCAGCTCTAAGCTGCTGCTGCTGCTACCACTACTATCCATGACCTCTCTTGCCTATAAGACGAGAGATATATGGTATCCCGAGAACTCCTATTGGCAATAGAGCGTTTGTTTACTCATTGAACCTGGGAATTGAATCCAGGGCCTTGTGCTTAGTGGGCAAGAGTTCTTTCGCTTGAGCCATGCCCCCAACTCCTGATGGACTTTTAAAAATAAGCCATGAAATACTAGTTCTAAAAAAAATAATTAAGGAAAAATAACCCTTCTGGCCCCATCAGTCTCAAGTGCAACATCTAATTGAAATCAGGTGCATGAAAATGATCTGGAAAAAAATATGCCTACATCAGGTGTCATCATGGTTTACTTCATTGCCTGAAATCATCCCTGACCCTGAAAAATGCCCCTGAGACTCTGTAGGACCAGAGTCATAGAAGCATAGAGAAGAAAAATAGGGGTTCCATATAGAGAAGGTACAGAAGATCTTAATTTTCAAAGAGCTTATTTCCTATAGAGCTTGATTTTCTTTTCTTTTTTTGAAATGAGGTCTCAGGTTGATCTTCAATTCTTGTGCTCTGGTGATCCTCCCACCTTAGCCTCTCCAGGAAGTGGGACTACAGATGTGTCCCACTACGACTGTTTAAAATAAGACAGTACCAGAAGAGTTCACATAGTTAACAATACCATCTGGCAGCTTCATCTTAAATTTTAAAATTAAATTTGAAAATGTGTTCTTGCTGTTTACCTGTGGTGCCAACATTTTTGTCAGACAGGTAGATTGAGAAATGGGCTGTAACCACGCTAGTCTTATCCCAGAAAGGAGATTACCCTCCATTCACCCTCTCATTTGACCTTCATAATTCTGGAGCAGGCAGAGAAGGGATTTGTCCAATTATCAGATAAAAAAAAAATCAAGGCTCAAAATGTCACTTGGCTAAGAAATTAGCCTAAACAGTGCCAATACATAGAAAAGCTTTGTGGGGTAGGAGAAATACAGAGGGGACACAACAAGGCAAACTTGGCTTCTCTGTGCAACAAATATCAACAAATCTTTTCATGGTAGGATCTGCTACATATCTAGTATTGTGCTATTATAGAAGCTTATATAAGGGCTGTGAGATTTGTCCCTGACCTCAAGGAGTTAATAGTATAAAAGTTGGGAAGTCAAGATGTCTAGAATATAATACAAAGCAATATCCAGTTAAGTATTTTGTTATAGTCATGAGTTTGGGACCAAAAAGGGCTTTAGAGAGTGACTAATTGCAATCTCTCACAGGAGATAGCCTTAGGGAACAATTCCCTGTTGAGAACTTGAAGATAGAGTAGTCTGTTTACTAACTAGTTCAGTAAGCACTTTCCCACTAATTATGTCAATTATTTACCTCAAAACAACACTGAGGGGCAGATATTACTGAAAGTCCTTGATTAATTAGGACATGGAAGCAATTCCTACAAGATGATAGCTTTGGTCAGATCTCCATGCAGAGTCAGGTAAAAGGGTAGGTTTTGGCAATTACATGCCTAGTATGATCTGAAGTGGCTGTGTGTCACTTTATAGCTGTGCTCCTTGAATTTTTTTCTTTCCTTATCTTTAAGTAGTTGCACCACAGAGTTTCAATTCAACAAATCAGTTTATAGGAACAATGCGCCTTGGTCAATGTTACCCCTTCCATAGTGCTTCTTAAATCTTTTTAGACATTTGTGTTTTTTTAAAAAACAAAATTCAAATACTTGTAGAATAGCTGGAGACAATCAGGTTTCTCTGTCTCTTCAGCTGGCCTTCTATTAAAAAATTCTTTGATAAAGAATCCCACTGGGGAGGGAAGAAAAGAAAGAAAAAGGGGCCAGGCACCAGTGGCTCATGCTTGTAATCCTAGCTGCTCAGGAAGCAGAGATCTGCACTCCAAAGTCATTCAAGGCAGAAAAGTTTGAGACTCTTATCTCCAATTAGTCACCAAAGAGCTAGAAATGAGCTGTAGCTCAAGTGGTAGAGCTAATCAGCCTTCAGCAAAAAAGCCTAGGCCCTGAATTCAAGCCCTAGGATGGGTGCATGCGTGCACGCACGTACACATGCACACACATGCATATAGACATGCACATTCACACACAGAAAAACAAAAGGAAAGATCATTACACAAAGAGGAGAAGGTATCAGAGAAGAGATAACTGTAAGTTCCAGGAACTTGACATCAGAATGAACAGGGGATGTTGAATAAGATCAGAACAAACAGAAAGGTAACTATAGTTGCTTACAATCAAGAAGATTTGAGAATTTTTGAAGGCAGAAAAAGGAATAACAGACCAAATGTGTCAGTGTGGCATGAGAAGGATGCTAAAATCAGGTGAGTATGGCATCTACTTGAAAGAAATCCTCTCCCTCTTCCAAGACTCTCTGTATCCATTGAGATCATTGTTGTATTGGTCTTTCCTACTTTAAGAGACAAATTATGGGGCTGGGAAGGTGGCTCAGTGGTAGAAAGCTTGCCTTGCATGCATGAGGCCCTGGGTTCAATTCCTCAGCACCACATAAGCAAAAAAAAAAAAGCCGGAAGTGGTGCTGTGGCTCAAGTGGTAGAGCGCTAGCCTTGAGCTGAAGAGCTGAGGGACAGCGCCCAGGCCCAGAGTTCAGGCCCCACGACCGGACCTAAAAAAAAAAAGAGTCAAATTATCACCAAGGAAACTAGCTTTGATCACCTCATTCAGAAGATGATTATATAAACAGCTCAGTGGGAGTTGCAATGGGGGAAGGAGGGCATAAAAATCCCCTGACCTCAGAGAAATTCACAATATAGACGGGAGGCAAGAGACACGTGGAATGAAATAAAAGGCCATACATGGCTTCATCCATAAGAAGTGGTAATAAATACAAAGAAGGACTATTAAATGGATAGTCCAACAGCAAAAGCCTCCAGATCATTGTTACCCTATATGTTAGTACCATTAGTTGAGAATTCTGTTTATGTGAGAAGAAGAAATGTTATAATAATTACTTGTGGAAATAAGGGCTATTATTACTCTTGCAAGTATGCATATATAGCACATGCACAGACACATACCCTGACAAATACACAAAGCTGTTTTTTGCTGGCTAGGACGTCACATAAACACCTCATCTATACCATCGTGGGTACACCCTGGAGGTTACCATGTCACTGTTCTCACCCTATCTACAAATGTTTGTTTCCCTCTCTGAGCTCAGCCTCCTAGACAATCATCTCTTCCACTGCCCCACCCCCCAAACCTACCATTCAGCCACACCAGAATTTTCTAGGCACGTACCCTACTGACTTAACAAACATGCCTGGGTTCTCACGGTCTCTTATCCACCATGGGAGGTTTCATCCACTCCTCCACCCTGATCCCATGACCCTGTAAGCTTGGAGATTCCACAAACCCACTTCCTCCTCAGCTCCTCTGCTCCAGGGTAGGAGAACTCTGGTACAGGCAGATGCAAAGCCATGGAAAAAGCTTACCATGACAGCACTATGAACTCAGGCCACACAACCGCAGCAGGACCCCACATCCTTTCCACTATGCTTGTGATGCCATTGTAGTGTTAGAAACACAAAGACCCTCTTGCCGTCAGAAATAAATAGGGACACAAGACATACAGAAAATTTCATCAAAGCGTGTTACCTCTCTACAGAAGGATGAACTACCATCACTCTCCCCAGAGCTAGGCAGGCACACTAGGCAAGTGTGTGCTCAGTTTTTAATCCTAACCCAGGGGGTGATGTTGTCCCTTCTCCTGTTGCTAAGGAGTCAGGCTGACATTATTGTTGTTGTTTTATAATTGGTTACCAGGGTGATGAATTAACATAAGAATGTTCAAAAGCACTCTAGCCATCAGTGAAAGGTTCCTATTAAGAGTACAATGGGATGGCTGTCCTTTTGGAGGTAAAAGTACACATCCTTCTTACCATGTCTGGCTGGAAATGGGTCTGAACATGGGACTGGGAATGGTTACAGTTGGAGGAGGTTGGTAAAGTCCATGGAAAGTTCCTACTTAAATTTCCACTTAAGGAGGGTCTATTCTTTAAACTCCATTAGAATGGGCATTCTAATGGGTTAATCCTAAACTTGACCTCATAAGCTGGTTACAAACAACACAGATGATACTTACAATTAAAGTCAAGAAGCAAATAATTCCAGGAAATATCAGCACAGAAGAGTGACTGGTTACAAGATGGAGATGTTTTTGTTTGATGGAAAAGATTGTTTTTTTCCCCCTACACTAACAACCTGCACGCACCTCCGCTCTCCTGGGTTTCTCAACTTCTCCTGTTCCCCTTGGCCCCTCACTTCCTATTTTGCTTAGATAATTGCAGATGTTTGGTAAGAAAATCCCCCGACTTACCTAATAGCCTACTGGATCGCATTGCTCTCTCCAGTCCTAGACTCTGCCCTCCTTTACTCAGCCTTTCTTCTCTCACCAGTGATTTTATTCCTTGAATTTTGGATCCTTTTCCCTAGACTTCTTTCTTTAAAACATACCAGATGACTAACGTTCCCAGACAAGTTCATTAGCTCTACTGTCTTTTCACCCTATAACCCAAATTCTCAGTTCTTATTGTAAAAGTCCCCCAAATAGGGGCTGGTTTAGCGGTAGAGTGCTTGCCTAGCATAAAACCCTGGGTTCAATTCCTCAGTGCCACATAAACAGAAAAAGCCAGAAGTAGATCTGTGGCTCAAATGGTAGAGTGCTAACCTTGAGCAAAAGAAGCTCGGGGACAGTGCCCAGGTCCTGAGTTCAAGCCCCAAGACTGGCAAAAAAAAAAAAAGTTCCCCAAAATATAGCCTATTGCCACTATCATCTTATAACCATTCTCCCCTAAATTATGCACTTCTGAAAAGGTGATGACAGAGTAGGAGATAAACCTGCACATTAAGCATCAAATCTTCAGAGCCTAGGAAGCAATAAGAACAGCTCAAACAAATCTGGATTGACTGTATTTTACTAGCTGTTTCTCCCTGATAGATTTTTCCTTTGATTGAGGACCAAATAACATACCCACACTGCTTCTTCTAGGACCTCTACCACCCACCTCACATGGCAGGCTGAGGAAGGGAAACAACTGGCTGGGTATAGCAGCAGAAACTGGGCCAGAGATCAGAACAGCCTCTATCTAGCACAGCAAGCCCAGCTGAGTGCACAAATGCAGGGTAGATACTGAACATTTATGGGTCAGGACCAGTTTACATATTGAAATTGAGATTCTCTAGCTCCCTTCTCAGAGCTAATTTAGCAGGGCTGGCACCTAAGCTAGTACTAGATATCATTTATAGACAGAACACTGGCCCTTCAAACTCAGGGATTTGCACTCACACTTGGTCTTTTTGCTCAAAATTAGAATTCTACTGCTTGAGCTATACCTCCACTTCTGACAGTTAATTGACAATAAGAATCTCACAGACTTTTTTCCCCCCTGACTGGCTTTGCACTGAATTTCTCAGATCTCAACCTCCTACGTAGCTAGGATTATAGACATGAGCCATCAGTGCCAGCCAATGTCCACATTTTAATCTTTGAACCTTTGTACATGTTGCATTACAAGACAAAGGGATTTCATAGATGTGATTAGGTTAAGATGGGAAGATTGTCCTGGATTACCTGGGTGTGCCCAATGTAATTACAAGATCTTTATAAGCACAGTACACAAATCCTATATTCTGGTTTATAAGTGTGTTTCTCACAGAGGTTTGGATGAGCAATTCTGAAATTGTTTTGTGGTTATATTAGAACTGGACAAATAAGTAAATTCATTGTGAATACTGGGAACCAGGGTTCATTCTCAATGTTTGAGAAAGAAGTTACAAATGAGGTAAAGGGAAAAGCAAATATATTATGTGATGTTAGATTTTAATTAGAGGAATGTGCACTAAGAGGATATCAGTTTGTGTGGTTCTTATCAACATTACAGAATCCTAACTGCAGTGGAAGTCAGACAAACCCAAATGGAGGCACATTCTACAAGTTAATAGTCTAGTATTTTTTTCAAAGTGTCAAGGACATCAAGAGCAAAGAATGATCAAAGGTTATACATAATATAGGAGATTAAGAAGATAGGATGTTAAATGTAAAGTAGGATCCTCGGTGGGATCCTAATGCAGAAAAGGAAAATTTGGGGAATGACTGACAAAAAACCCTAATGAGGTTTATAGACCACTTATCTGTATTAGCCCATGTTAATTTCCTGGATTTGATGATTCTACCATGAGTATGTAAAACAGAAACATTAGGGGAAATTGTGAATGTTATAAAGAAATCCAAGGAATTTTTTCCTCCCCCCTCCCTCCCTCCCTTCCTTCCTTCTTCCCTTCCTTCTTTTCCCTTTCCTTTCCTCCAGCCCTATCCCTCCCCTTCCCTTTCATTTCCCCTCTCTTCTCCCCCTCCTTCTTCTCTCTTTCTTGTGTTTGTATTAGAACTTGAACTCAGGGATTCACAGACTCACTTAGGTTTCTTGTTCAGAGCTGGTACTTTACCACCCTCATTTCTGGCTTTCTGCCAAGAAGGAGTCTTGCAGGATTATTTGTTCCAGCTAACTTTAAACTTTGGTCCTCTAGATCTCAGCCTCCTGAAGCATGAGCCACCAGCCAATGGCTTCTTCTTGCAACTTTTAGTATGAAATGACCTCAAAACAATTTTTAAAAAAATTAGTAGCTAGTCATTGATGGTTCACACCTATTGATCTTAGTAAGTAAAGAGGCTGATCTCTGAGTACTGAGGTTTAGAGCCAGCCTGGGCAGAGAAATTCATGAGACTCCTACCTCCCAATAACCAGTAGGGAACCAGAAATGGAACTGTGGCTCAAGTGGCAGTGTGCTATCCATGAGCACAAAACCCAAGCAAAAGAACAAAGCCCTGAGTTCAAGACCCAATAATGCAAACAATTAAATAGTAATTATTACTTTTGCTAATCAAAGATATATATATATATGTCTAATTTGTTTCATATTTATCAAAGTGTGACTATATTGCAATAACACACAGAGTTGAGGTTAATTCCTCCTCTATAGTGTTTCATATTGAAATACTGTTTTCTACTGAAAAACAGCTCATAGATATCATTACTATCTTGGAGGTTTTTTTGTCGGTGGTGGGGCTTGAACTCTGGGCCTGAGCGCTGTCCCTCAGCTCTTCAGCTCAAGGCTAGCGCGCTCTACCACTTGAGCTACAGCGCCACTTCCACTTTTAGGAATATCTATTTACAGAATGTAAGTCACAGAGTTCAATATAACCTTTAAAATTATTATATGATGAGCATATGTACAAAAGTAGTTTTATTGTGTTTTTGCATGGCCACCACTACACTTTAAATAATTTGTTTTCTATTTTCTTCTTTCCAGGTTAAACAACAACTTGAAGAAAAAACAAATGAGACTTATGAGGAATTTGAAGCTGTAGAGTATAAAAGTCAAGTTGTTGCTGGAACTATTTTCTACATTAAGGTTAGAGTTTCACATCAAGTTTTGTGCTCAAAGATACTGTAATTTGTCATTTGGTGTAATGGTTATTCTTTCTTTTACTCTATACTGTGTTCCTTATAGATGGCTTAAATTAAAATGTTACCACCTTTCAAGTGGTAGAATCAAATTTGGCAGATGTTATTTTATATTATTTGTTTGTGTGAGTTTAGAAAGCTTTTTTATTTTCTTTTGGAGGACAGAACTTAGGACCTTGTGCTTGATAGGCAAGCATTCTACCACTTACTGTACCCTCCCTCTCTTCCTTCCTTCCTTTTACCTTCTCTTCTTCCTGTACTTCCTTCCCCCTCCTCCCTCTCTCTCGGCATAGAATCTCACTGTGTAGGACCAACTCTGTTTCTTTTTCTGGCATAGAATCTCACTATAAAGCACCAATCATGGTTTCAAACCCATGATCTATGGGCCTCAGCCTCTAGAACACTGAATTTATAAGGGGCATTGCATGCACAACCATAGCCAACATCCAAAAGCACTTTTCTGTTGATTTTTAGGTGAATTTCTAAAAATTGTGTAGAAGCTTTCATGGCACTCCAGGACATGCTTGGTTTGTGGCTGCTTTGTATATAAGGTGGAAGAATAATAATCTCAGCTGAAGGTGTGAGGCTGGGCCAGATGATGTCTTAGATTTAAAGAATAAATTAAAGCCAGCCACCAAGGACTCATGCCTGTAATCCTAGCTACTCAGGAGGCTGAGATCTGAGGATCAGAGTGCAAAGCCCGCCTAGGCAGGAAAGTCTGTGAGACTCTTATCTCCAAGAAACCACCAGAAAACTGGAAGTAGCATTCTGGCTCAAATGGTAGAGTGCTTGCCGTGAGCTGAAGAGCTGAGGGACAGCATGCAGGCCCAGAGTTCAAGCCCCACGACCAACAACAACAACAACAAAAATAATGACAAGTCATGACCTGAGAAAATAATTCAAACAACTTTTTGTCCTTTAAATAAGTATTATGATTAGATAATTTAAATAATTAGTTTTACAACTCAAGTAGATCCAACTCATGGCACTTAAAGTATAGTTCAAAGCAGTGGAGTACTTAAATTTTTTACAGTCCATTTTATAGCTATATAAAAAATTACTGATGCACTATATTAGTTCAAATTGAAGAAGGTATCTTTGATGTTCGATAGAGTTCAAGTATAGATAATTGTGGGGGGTCATTATCATTCTTATGTATTGAACAGATGACAGTTCTGTGTTTAAAAAATAATAACATATTCACCTGTATTTGCCTACTCTTTGTTTTTTTTGTTTTTATTTTTTTACAATTTGACCAGGATACAATGTAGTTTCTTTCTCCTTAATAAGTAATTAACCACGTAAGATGTACATTCTTAAATGTATTCAGGAAAAATAGATAAGTAGAGCTACGTAGCTCTGCATGCAGAAGTTGCAATACTGAGTTAGGCAGTGGATCATCAGTTCAGTCTAAGCAATTTTGAGTTCCTGGTCCAGGGAAGACACATGTGAATGAGAGCCAGAAGTACCTTCAGAAGGTAATGGCATCATTTCTTTCTTTCACAATCTGTCTTCACAGATAGGAGAGTCTTCCTGGATCATTCAAGACAGGAAATGTTCCATAAAAATTGAGATCATGTTAGTAATTTTTAAATTATCCAAATGCATACATTTCACATAGTAAGTTCTGCACACATCACTTCGAAAGCTCATCAGGAAACAGCCTTGAAAATTTCCTGCTTTGACAACTGTTGCCTCTGTTGCCCTGTCCAGTGCTCCCTTTCCCCTTTTCTGCCCTCAAAAGTTTTCTTCTGGGTTCCAACCACTAACCCCAGTTGCCTCTCTCCTTACTTCATGCAGTCTGGGCTATCACTTCCTCTGCTCTGAAGCCACTCTCCAGATTTAAGGTCTGAGTAATGTAACCTTCTCTATCTGTCTTGAATGGAAAAACCACAGGCCTTGCTTTCTGACTCTGTTCAACTTGTTCTACTGTCAAAACCTGTGTGGTTAAAGGTCTTCACTATGTTTTAATCCCCTAACCTGCCTAATGGGGATAACACTCTACTGAGCACTTACATCATGCCAGGGACTGTTCTAAAAGCTAGACATGGCCTTCCTCATTTAATACCCACCCCCCAAAAAGCTATGAGACAAATAAAGTGACAGCTATTGTGTTACTGATGAGAAAATCAGGCCCTGGGAGGTCACACAACCATACAAACAGAGCTAGAATTCAGATCCACAGCATGAGCTGTAGGGTCTCTAATAATGTTTGTAAAGGTTGATGCTGTCTCAGTAAAAAATAAGTACTTGTACAAGTTATATTATAGAGTAAAAAGAACCATAGATGTTGATCCAGGTATATCTGTAATTCTGGCACTCAAGAAGCTTAGCCAGTTTGAGGCTAGCCTGCCTGAGCTACATGGTAAAGCCACAAGTAAGTAAGAAAGTAAGTAAGTTAAATAAATAAATAAATAAATAACAGATGTTGGAACAATCTCCGTTCTAATTTTGGCTCTACCATTTATTGGTTGAGAGATTTGTAGAATAGAGATTTGCTCATTTCCATTAGTCTGCTTCTATATATTAAAAACGGATAGCTTCACTTTTCTTCAGGCCTACAATAAGAAATCAGGATAGTAGAATATTTAACATGCTTACCATAATGTCACAGTATCACAGTAAACACTAACAAATGGCATTTGTTAAATTAAGGTAGGAAAGGGACATCAGAGCACAATGAATATCATATATAATAGCCCTTCATTGTCTTCACCACTAATTGAATTACTATGTATACATAGAAATTAGATATTTTCAATACTAATGACACTAAGACTCCCTTTACTTTACAGAATGCTCCTGCCCCAGGTCAGTCTTCAAATGCTTAGAGGGCATTTATAAAGTAGGTTTTCATATAGTATAGGTTTATGAACAATGCATCCCAAATCTTGTAAAAGATTTTCTGAAGAAAATCAATTGTGGTTTTCTTCTATACCCCTGTAATGCAAACAGTCTCAATTTGTCATCCAGAAAACAGAATCACCACAAACACACGCTGCCATAGTAGTATCAGAGTGTTTGCACTTCATGCTTCTATAAAAATAGGATGCAACTGTCATTTGTCCCCATGTTATAATTAACAAAATGAAAAAAAAATAGTTTAGAACGTATCAATTCTGCCCTGCCATTGGCTTTTGTAAAATAAGGTAGTGGGTCTATAAAAGACCAGTCTAAAAATGCTTCTGTAGATATGGACATGCTTACCCAGAAAGGCAGTAGAATCTTTACAGGCCTGTAGCTCTTTCATTTGATGCAGGTCCAAATAAATAAATTGTCTTTTTCTTAATATATTTCAGATGCGAGTAGGTGATGGGCGTTATACTCACATAAAAGTACTCAGAAGTCTTCCTGGACAAAATGAGGGTTTGAAACTTGTTGCTTATCAGACTGATAAAAGTAAGGAAGATGAACTGACTGCCTTTAATTGAACATTCTACAAGTGGTCTGATTTCTTTCATTGGCTGCTGATTAATGATCCTTGTTAATAGAAGCAACCATCAATAAAGTACTTCTCTTTAAATGATTTCTCCAACTATTTCTCATTCATTATGTTGAATGGAAATGATCATTCCTTTATCAGAATCACTGTTGTTGGTTTAGGGTAAAAATTCTGGGCAAATTGATGTCAATTGGCAAACTTCATAAAAACTAGTCATTAAAGCAAATGGGACAGAACTTGAGGGAAACCCGTGAAAGTGCACAGTGGAGCTCACTGGACATTGGTTAAAGTGAATTACACAACTTTTGTGGGTGGAGAAGGGAAGGAGGGCCTGGGAGAGAGTGACAGAAGACATTGTAGGAAAGGAAATGAACTTATTACCTGACTTATTACTCATTGTAATCTCCCTGTACATCACCTTTAAAGTTTTAAAAAGTTTAAAAAGCAAATGGCTAGAAGATGGGACTGCTACAGCACTAGCACAGGTGAGCCAGATCATGGGCTATCAATGGAAGTAATCTCCCTGTTTTTTGTGGGTGCTCAGATATGGATATTCAATCTCCACTTTTTTTTTTTTTTGGTTGGTGGTGGGGCCTGAACTCTGGGCCTGGGCGCTGTCCCTCAGCATTTCAGCTCAACGCTAGTGATCTACCACTGAGCCACCTTCTCAGCTCCGCCTTCATATTTTAAAGTTAAATCTGGTATTTTACATATATCGGGTGTTTTACACACACACACACACACACACACACACACACACACACACACACACAATGAAAAAAATGTTAAACATAGAAAAAAAAACTTTTTCCCCAGACATTTGAAAGTCAACTACCTACAATGATTCCTAATTACTAACAAATATTTACAATATTACTCATTGGCAAATCAAATATATTCTCTTGTATAGATAAAATATAATCATCAAAAGAAGAAAATTAACACTGATGCTCTGCCTCTACCTACTTTGCAGATAGCATTCAAATTCCCCCAGTTAGAAGCTTCCTATATGTGGTCCCCTGGAGGAGAGAAGTCAGGGACGGACAGACTATATTCCTGAAAGAGAAAGAACATCAAGGAACATGCAAGATGTGAAAAACATAGGGAAACAGAAGGGCTATTCAGAGAAAAGTAGGAAACCCTGAAGCCTCCACACTAGTCCTGGTTCCCCAGGAGTGTGGGGGTGGGGGTTAAAAATCCAGTCACAAGGTTAGTCAGGTATCTTGAAAACAGACTGACAGTCTTAGGTTCAGAATAAATTCAGTGCTCTCAAGTCTTAAGCCCACTTTGGAATTTGGTGTGATAGTGACTCTTCCTACAAGGCAAGCCAGCATTGGAAGAAAAACACATTTTGATAGTCTCCATATCAGAGACCTATTGCCAGGTGCAATCTTGAGAGAGGATTATAAACTGGGGCTAATCTATTTTGGGGACCTAAAAACAAGGAACAATTGCAAGCTAGGTAGCCTGGAGATACTTCACCATAGTGTTTGAGTGGGGAATATCAAGAAGAGGTAAGCATGGAAAGAGTGAGGATCAAACATGGATTGCTGAGAAGTTTAAGTACCTGGAAGCACCATCTATGAAAAGCAGTTAATAAGTGAGTCTCATCAAGTGTGGATCACCACAAAGACCAAAATCTCTCAGCCAAGTTCAATCCTATGACTACTAGATGGTCTAGCATCTGAGCTAACTCTGAGCTGAGTGTAGTTTGCTGCTGGGTGGCACTAAGAGCTTTCACACAGGTCCAGTGGATAGCTCTGGCTGCCGAGCCTTTGATTCCATAGCTGTTCTCCTCTGGTATTGATCCTCCCCTCTCATATACACGTGTGGCTTGGGTGTTTGCCACCCTGGGGCACAGAAAGTGGGAGGTCCTGGAGACAGCAATGGCTCTGGGTATGCAAAGAAAGGAAGTTGCTAAAGCAAATGTAATTATGAAGCTGAGAAATGACACAACCAGCTTGGCCCACAGCCTACATAGAACACCAGCCAAAACAGACTTTCCATTACAGAAGTTTGCTTTCTCATCTCTGACTAGTACTGAAGATTAAATCTTCAAATCCTTTAAATGAAGCCAGAAGAAATATCCATATCAACAGATAACAGACTTGTAATACATGAACACAAGAAACACTATAAAGGTAAGATGACTCCTCCAAAAAGCTCATAAGTCCTCAATAAGGAATCCAAAGATAATGGAATGGCTGAAATGCAAGATAAAGAATTCAAAAGTCTACTTTAAAGAAATAAGCAATGACTTCAAAAATGATTCAAACATGAAGTTCATTTTATAAGGTCCATTCCTGGACGGCAAACAGACCTCGCCCAGTACCTGCATTACCTAGGCAACTGGGACACCTGGAAGAGGTCACATCTGCATCTGCTGAGGTCACATCTTAATCTGATGTGGCCACACCTTTCTCCCACCAGATCCCACTTCCCTTTACCTGGGCACACCTTTCCTTGCCCCTACCCTATATAAGGCCTAACCCGGGGCCAGACGCTCTCTTTTGCCAGCCACGTGGAGTGCCAAGCTTGCCTGGTCCCAGCAGGTCTACTGAATAAACCTACCCCTTACCTGAATACCACGTGCGTGGTGCTGTTCTTACTCGGCTACCTCTTTTTAAAAAACCGAACACATTTAAAACCTGGCAGAGAAAGCAAGTGACATGACTCAGAAATTACTTTAAAAAATGAGATACAGAAACAAAACAATAAAACAAATAGAAATGTTATAAATTAAAAACCCTATAAATCAAATAAAAATACAATGGAAAGTATTACCATAGATCACATCAAGAAGAGGAAAGAATATCAGGGAATGAAGACAAAGTTAAGGAAATATTACATCCAGACACCACCACCACCAACAAAAAAAAGTTTCCACAACTTTCAAGAAAGCTGGGACATAATCAAGAGACCAAACCTAAGAATTCTTAAGATAGAAAAAAAAATTGATATACTAAAGGCATATAAAACAAATTCAAGGAAATTATAGCAAAAAATTCCACACCTAGGAAAAGACAGACATCCAAGTACAAAGGCACTGAAACCCCAAATAGACATGACCAGAAAAAATTTTTTCCACATCACATTGTACTAAAATGCCAAAGCTGCAAAAGAGTAATACCAATTTACATACAAAGGTAGACTTTTTAAGAAAAACTCAAGCCAGAAAAGCATTGAACCATGTTTGAAGCTCTAAACGCAAATGACTGTCAACCAAGATGACTACATTCCTGGCCAAGTTATCAATGGGGAAATTAAGACCTTACAAAAGAAAAGAAGGAAATCTCTAGCTGTGAGTTTCTATATTTCAAAAAAAAAAATCTGAGAGTTCTCAAGTAATAACCTAATGATGAACTCAGGGTCTTAGAAAAATAAAAGCCAAACCTAAAATTAGTAGATGTAAAGAAATAATGATTAGGGCAGATTTTAAGAGTGAAAAAAGAACACTAGAAGAATCATTATCTTTTCTTTGATAAACAAAATTGACAAACTCTTAGCCAAATGAAGCAAAAGAAAGAGGAAGTAAATGTTGAAGCCCCCACTTGTAATTCTAGCTATTCAGGCTGTGGAGATTGGGAAGGTAAGTGGTTAGAGGGGTATACATTTACAAGTCTATCTCAATCAATAAAAACCTGGGTGTGCTGATGTCAGTGAAGAGAGTAAACTCAGCATGAGTTCAAAGGCAGTACTGGGTCTTCTCTAGGAGCAGAATTGGTAGTAAACGGTAATGGTAGTAAACAGAGAACAATGAAGAGAGTGGTGAGGTGAGGGAAATAAGTACAAGACAGAGAAAGAACTTCATAAGCCACTTTAGTTTACTAGTGTGAAAAAACAATTTGACCCATAACAATTCTTACTAATCATATCAATGGATCTCCTCTTATCTCTCAGTGCATTAGGAAGTACATAAAGTCATCTAGGTCAAGTCTTTTCATCTTATAGACTAGTGCCCTCACCTGGCCACTACATTTAGAAGTTGATAGATGTTTTTGTTCAAACCTTTTGCTACCTTAAGTCTTCCCTCCAAATAATTGTGGGAGATAAAATTACACTTGTGTGGGAAATGCTGATGTAATTTTTTAATTTCATTATTTTTCAATGTATATAGTCAGCATGTGTTTTAATAGGTCAAATTAAAGAGGGTACTTTATAAGGCTAAGGATACAGAAAAACCACAAGTAACCTATGTAATCTCAACATGTTTGATTAGATCACCTAACTCTGGGCAGACATCCTTTTTTTATTAAAGTAAGACCTCCACATTTGACAAGTATCATTTACAAGTAAATCTTGATCATTGGGATAAAACCAAACTACTGAGAACAATAGTACATTATCACTCCATTTGTCCATTAATATCTTAGGAGCAAAACTTACAAACAAGAATGACTTGTTACAAAAACTACATTTTAGCTGGGTGCTGGTTGATCATGCCTGTAATCCTAGCAACTCAGGAGGCTGAGATCTGAGGATTGTGGTTCAAAGCCAGCCTGGGCAATAAACCACTTAGAAAACGAAGTGGGGGCTGGGAAGGTAGCTCAGTGGTAGAGCGCATGCCTTGCAAGCCTGAGGCCCTGGGTTCGATTCCACAGCACCACATAAGCAAAAAGAAAAATACCAGAAGTGGCGCTGTGGCTCAAGTGGTAGAGCGCTAGCCTTGAGCTGAAGAGCTGAAGGATAGCGCCCAGGCCCAGAGTTCAGGCCCCACTACCGGACCAAAATAAAATTACCCTTGCCGGGCGCTGGTGGCTCACGCCTGTAATCCTAGCTACTCAGGAGGCTGAGATCTGAGGATCGCGGTTCAAAGCCAGCCAGGGCAGGAAAGACCGTGAGACTCCTATCTCCAATAAACCACCAGAAAACCGGAAGTGGCGCTGTAGCTCAAGTGGTAGAGTGCTCGCCTTGAGCTGAAGAGCTGAGGGACAGCGCCCAGGCCCAGAGTTCAAGCCTCACGACCGACAAAAAAAAAAAAAAAAAAAGAAAACGAAGTGGTGCAGTGGCTCAAGTGGTAGTGGTAGCCTTGAGCTGAAGAGCTGAGGGACAGTGTTCAGGCACAGAGTTCAATCCCCATGACCAACAATAAAACAGAAACAAACAAAAAACCACCCTACATTACTGTACTTTCTTGGTAATTTCAATCTCTAGCTGAATTGTTTTTTTCTAAAGCAATAGCATTATAACGTCCTTTAGTCAGTTGATGTTTTGGAACCCTCCATGCACATTCTCACTTCTCTACCTTACAAAGATCTTCATCATATTTTACCCTTATAACTTAATTCTTTGCTACTGTCATTCTCATCAAATGTAAGCTCTTTGAGAACAGGCATTTTTGTTTTATTGTCTTAATGGAAGCAAACACTGCCTAGAATATGTAAGACAAACATTTGCAAAAAGAACTCACAAATGTTTTATTACATTATAGGCATTTCTTCATATACCTGGTTTCGTTGAGTATATGTTTCTATGTGCCTAAATCCTATCCTTCAAACAAAAGCAAATTGTTTTAAAGCAGTAATTGCATACAATTCTCTCAGCAGGCAAATCAACTTTCTAGAGCAATGTGCCTTTCTTCAAATCTGTGGCTTTAGATGCTATTCATCACAAGCTAAATGTATTAGCTTATACTGATTCATTTCACACTACCATCATCTACACGACTGTCATAATCTGTTACAGTATGATTCAGGTATTCTAATATAATTGGATTTGCTAGATAGTATTATGACCAACATACCCAAAATTCTGGAAAGACCATTATAGTCCTTCCCAAGGATCTGAGGAATGGCTAGGAAAATGTTGCTTTACTTTCATTCTTGCATCCATCTTTCCAACTTACTCCATATAAAAATCATTACACATTAGCTATACAGAAAAAAAATTTTTTACTACTTATCCTTAAGAAAATTTGCTCATTGAGAAGCCTAGATTATAATCTCCACATAAGTTTTTCCTCTGTAGTGATAGATATTTTCAAATCAGAGCCTTGCACACATGCTAGGCAAGTACTCTGGCACTGAGCTATACCTCCAGCTCATACATTGTTTTGCCTATCACTATCCTACTAGTTGCCCATAGTAAATATTCCGGTTTTATGAATCAGGGACATTATGACTGTACAGCTCATTCTAAGTGCATACTTTGGCAAAGGTGAATGTACTGAAGACCGGAAATCCAACTGGTCAATCAAGCGGGCCAGAGCTAGGTGACTCATGTTTAGATCATTACAGCAGACAGGATCCTAAGTTTGCTCATTAAGATCCCTCAAACTGTGAATGACACATCACATTGTAATTTAAAAAGTGATTTGTCACTGGGCACCAGTGGTTCACGCCTGTAATCCTTGCTACTCAGGAGGCTGAGATCTGAGGATCTGTTCAAAGCCAGCCCGGACAGGAACATCCATGAGACTCATATCTCCAATTAACCACCAGAAAACCAGAAGTGGCGCTGTGGCTCAAGTGGTAGTGTGCTAGCCTTGAGCTGAAGAGCTGAGGGATAGCACGTAGGCAGAGTTCAAGCCCTACAAGTAAAAAGAAAAAGTAATTTGGAGATATAGCTAAGATTATTAAAAAAAAAAAAAAAATCCATGGAGTCAATTGAAAGTATCATTGGGATAGATCTCATTTATCCAAAACCAAGCCAGAAATTCCCAACTTATCAACTCATCTTGGGATTTGAGGCCACTGTTAACTTGAAAATGGAAGCAGCACCACTGAGAGATGCCTAACAGCCAGTAAGATGAGTGACCTCACTTCTACATTTCATGATTTAAATTCTGTGAGCAAACTCACTGAGCTGGAAAGCACATTTCCCCCCACTCTGGTTTTTGGCTTGATTTCAGGCCTATAACCCTAAACAAATAATCCAGTCAAGTCTATCTGGACTTAGGACCTACAAAGCTGTGAAATAACCAAACGGGTGTAATATTAACTAGTTAAGTTTGTGGCGATCTGTTAATAGGAAGAGAACATTAATATAAGCATTTAGAAAGTGTTTTCTTCAATGACCAAATCCTGAAATAAGCCTTTGTTAGTTGTGGGGCTTAAACTCTGGGCCTGGGTGCTGTCCCTTCAGCTCACTGCACTTGAGCTACAGTGACACTTCTGGTTTTCTGGTGGTTAATTGGAGTTAAGAGTCTCACAGACTTTGCTACTGGGGCTGGCTTTGAACCTTGATCTTCAGATCTCAGACTACTGAGTAGCTAGGATTACAGGAATGAGCTACCAGTGCCTGGCCAACAATTGTTTTTAAATCAACTTACTCACTATCATTATGCCCTGTTTCCCTCTCTTCCTTTTCTGAGTTTTACTGATTCCTTTTTCAGTGTCTATAAAAACTGTCCAGAAAAAAAGTTGTTTTTATGTATCTGAAAGCAAGATAAATGAAAGTACTAAGAGAACACTTCCTTGCATAGTGTCTCCACCTTACAGAAATGCCCTTTAATAATAAACCACAATAAAAGGATAAACTTGCTAAGTGTGGTGAGAAACACCTATAATCCTAGCACTTGGGGAGTAGAGGCAGATCACAGGGCTCAAGGCCAGCCTAGGCCATATAATAAGTAGTAAGTTTCAGACCAGCCTAGAATACCCAGTAAGACACTGTCTAGAAATGGAACAAACAAAACCGCACTAAAACAATTAAACAACAAAAGTAAAAACTCTCAAAAAACTCAAATTCATCCATGACCAATGGCCAATAAAAGGTCCATATCCATACAAATAAATTTGTAGAGGTCAAAAACTGTAATACAGATATTGAAATTATGTGCAAATTTTCTTTCTTTTTAATAATTCTTTTTTTTTTTTTTTTTTGCCAGTCCTGGGGCTTAAACTCAGGGCCTGGGCACTGTCCCTGAGCTTCGTTTTGCTCAAGGTTAGCACTCTACCACTTGAACCACAGAGCCACTTCTGTTTTTTTTTTTTTTCTGTTTATGTGGTTCTGAGGAATCAAATCCAGGGCTTCATGTATTCTAGGTAATCATTCTACCACTAAGTCATATTCTCAGCCCACGGTGGCAATTTTTCTTATAAGAACTTATTGTCTCAATTTGGAAAGCCATCAAATAAATATATACACCAAGTCAGAAAATTATTTTAATACTTACAAAACATTTTTTTTTACAGAATCAGTATAAAATAGCAGTTGATTACTCATAATTATTAGAATTACTTAGACTTGGGGTCTTGGCTAAGTGGGGCTGAAATCAACAAAAGGACTTGGACTGTTGGCTCAGAAATCATTTAGGAAGCCCACTCTGTTGATGTCTGTCATGCTTAGCTCTGGTGAGATGACCCAGTCCTTTAGGAAAAAAAAAATCTCCTTTATTCAGTCTTTGGAGGCTTGAAATGAATTCGGCAGCGTTCATTAAACACCTAGGATATTTAAACAGAAACAAAAATTAGTGAGTCATCCTGTAAAATTCAAATCTGGATCTAAATCCAAATTTGACTATTAGTATATTATCATTTCTGCTTCAGGTCAACAGATTCAGGGAACAGTGGAGTTTTGTCAGGAGGCTAACTGTACATAAGATAATTTCAATATTCCTAAATTCTTAAATATTCCTAAATTATATAAAGTTTTTTGCTTTACCTTGCTTCCTAAAAATCAAAACAAGTAGCATAATATGTTAGAATGACCTATGAATATATGTCATTATTAGACTTACTAAATATAGCTTCAAAGAAATATAGTGCTCAAAAGAGAGTGAGAAAGCTTTTTCTTTTTTCTTTTGCTGGTCCTGGGGCTTGAACTCAGGGCTTGGGCACTGTCTCCATGTCCTTTTGTTTACAGCTAGCACTCTACCACTTAAGGCTTCTTTTATTGGAAATAAGAGTCTCACGGACTTTCCTGCCTCAGCTGGCTTTGAACTGTGATCCTGAGATTTAAGCCTCCTGAGTAGCTAGGATTATAAGTGAGAGCCACTGGTGCCCAGCTTAAGGAACTTTTTATATTCTGGTTTGAAAACATCTTCACTATGTACTAACATGTGGTATAAGATGTTTGGATAGGAGAGATGTACACATAAAAGTTAGAAAAAAAAGAATATGCTAGAAAATAGATATGAGGCAGAATTTCTGCTGTATATACTTTAATTCTTGAGTCAGGGTCTCAATTTGTAGTTAAGACTGGCCTTAAATGTATCTGCTACATAACAGACTGGATTACAACTTGATAGCCTCCTGCCTCAGCCTTCCAAGTGCTACTATCGTCTTTGGCAAACTGGATAGGAAAAAGAAATGTCATAAAGCAAAGAACGTCAGTTTGGATTCTGGAATTCATTCATGACTCAGTATGTTGTGATGCTGTTTTTGTTCCAGATTGATGTAATTATTTAATTACAAAGGAAAATAATCATATGGAACAAACTGGTTATAAACAGTAGGCAGAAGATGACTTTGCTTATAATAAGAAAGTTAAAAGAATGTACATACATGAAAAACTGGAAAGCTATATCCCAAAATACTAATAATATTATTTTTAATGATTAAATAAATGTGTATTTTCAAAAATAATTATTACTGAAACTAGGAGAGAACGAGGGGGATAAAATAGTTATTAAAAGGAAGAAGTCAGGAATCTAAAAAGCTAAGCCAGTGCTCAATAGCAGGATATAAACCTCAGATGTCCAGCCAAGAAAACAGCAGTCAAGCCAACAACACTGTTCTTTTCACCTTTTGGAAAAGGGTAAATGTATATACTTTTTCAGAAAACTAAAGTCATAATTTTGTGAATTTTAAGTATATGTGAAGTCCTGGGATCTGGGGCCCCAATGCAGTTGCTAAATAGAACCACAAAGGTGGCAATGAGGAGTCAGAGCATCTCTAAACAGTCTTATTACTAGGTGCCATCAAAAATATATGCAATGGAAAGCTTCATAATCAGATGTGAGAGAAGCACCTAACGCAGTAGCTGATGACATTAAGACTGGTGTGAAGTAATTAACTGAAGGTTCTCAGTTCCCTAGAGTAAAAACTTTAGATATCTAATGTCTATAATTAATATTAGGAGACAAAAGAAATGTTTCCAATTCCGTTACCTTGGCAGGTCAAAAATTCTCTCACATACTTGCAAAACAGTTAACAAGCTGTATCTACACTGAGTTTAACTGCAGCAGCCCAACCACCACTAGGAAAAGTTAAAGCCCCAGGGGTGCTCATCAGTGAAGGATCTCTGCTTTCTATGGAGAGCTGCCAAGCACTATTTTGTCCCATTCTTTGGTTGTGCTATTTCCCTCCTACTTGTCTCTAAGAACCAACATTATTTATACCTTCCAGCTCCTGTCATTTACCACTTCTTCAACATTGAGTTCTGATTGCATCCATTTCAACTGTAAGAAAGGAGAAAAATTGAAGTTATGAGTGGAAAGAGCTAAACCAAGCTTTAACATTTTCACAACAAAAGCAGCTACTACTCTTATTGACTGTTAATGGTACAGATTTGGGGGCCTTCTTTGATACAATCTTCTCATTCCATATAAATTATAAAATTCTATGGAACAATGGTTCTCAAAACTTTGCCCAAGTAGTTAACAGAAGATAAACAAATGAACAATAAACTTATTCTTAATAAGTTCAATCTTATTCAATTATAGAAATATAGAAAATGAGCCATAATATGACAAAAAGGAAAAAGTCTGATCAATCTTAGTCATGAGACTGTGAATAATTTTAGTACACAGAAATATAGTACATGACATATCAGGTAACTTCCATGACAATATTTATCAAAATGTGTATTCAAGCTGAGTGCCAGTGTTCATACTGTAACCCAGTACTTCTGAGGCTGAGAGCTCAGATCCTGGGCTCAAGCCAGCACAGACAGAAAAGTCCTTAAGACTCCATCTCCAAATAACCAGTAAAATGCTGGACTGGAGGTATAGCTCAAGTGGTAGAGACCAGCTTTGAGCAAGAAAGCCAAGCAATAGCACAAAGCCCTGAGTTCAAGCCCTAAAACCAGCATGCATGCACATGTGACCACACACACACACACACACACACACACACACACACACAAATTCACATGTCCTTGAATACAAAAATTCTAGTTCTAGAAATTGAAAATTTAACAACATACTTGCAAAGAAAGTCCAGACGAATAAATAAGGACAAGAAAGCAGCATACTGATTTGGATAAAGAATTAAGAAAACAAAAATCTGGAAGAAAACCAGAAATAGGAAGGAGAATATATAGAAAGATACATAATATTTCTGATCACATATGATTAGAAGGGATTGAAAGGAGAGAAGTTTTAGGAGAGTTTGAAAATATTCAGGAAAAATAGGAGAGATAGAGAAAAAAGCATAAAGTACAGGTACTTTAGGTTAAATGCGTCAGGGATCTTCAGGAAGAACAGGCTAGAGGGCCAGACAAGATCTGGGCAACCACAGCATGGCACCAGTGTCAAGAGACAGATCAGACTGAAGAAGACTTGAGAAATCTGCATGTGATGAAATCTAACGACTGTTCCCTTCAGGCTTAGAGTTGGTACCAAAGTATAGGCAGATATGAATGGCAGAAATGTGGACTTAAGGGAAAGATTTCTGCCAAAGGATCCTGTGATACAAGGTAGAAACAAACCTGAACAAGCCCCCCAGGCAGTCCCCTGAACTATACAACCAAAAGTCTTACTAAGTCTGTCAAGCTCTAAACTGATTGCTAAAGAAATAACAACTTAAAAACTAAAAAAAAACTCTTCAGTTGAAGAATAGAATGTGATAATATACCACTAAGAGTTTTCATAACTGCTTTCAAATATTTCAAGGGATGTCTTGGAAAAAAGGGTACAGTTTACATAATTTTCTCATTTCACAAGGGGACAGGTTTGTGTAATTAACAAAGAGAAAACTGACAGAGAAAAGACAGAGTCCTCTGTCCTCCTGCCCCAACACCTTGCCCTTAACCATGGGCTGAATAAAGGGCAGAAACCACTGGCTGATGACATAAGAAGATTCATTCAACAAGTCCCAGAGACTCAAGAAAAAAGTAAAGGAATTGTTACTGTGTGCTATGTCAGTTCCTTAATACACTATAAAATTTAATCTTCAGGGGCTGGGAAGGTGGCTCAGTGGCAGAGTGCTTGCCTTGCATGCATGAGGCCCTGGATTCGATTCCCCAGCACCACATAAGCAAAAAGAAAAAAGCTGGAAGTGGTGCTGTGGCTCAAGAGGTAGAGTGCTAGCCTTGAGCTGAAGAGCTGAGGGACAGCACCTAGGCCCAGAGTTCAGGCCCCACGACCAGACCCCCCCCCCAAAAAAAAAAAAATGAATTTTCACATAAATGGAAACATCCACTTTGTAGACAGAAAATCAGAACTTACAAAGAAATTATATCTTTAAGTTTATAACTTGTCTCTTCCTCCTGCTCTATTTAGAAAACTGTAGATATTACAGCAAGTTCTAATTAATTGCGGCAGTATTACAAACTTTCAGCTCTGAGATGTTTCTTTTGGGGGCTTAAATTTGGGTCTTATTTTTGAGTCTTAAATAGGTAAACCATTTATCAGAGGCCATTAATAGGTGAAAACAGATACAGGGTTCCAACCAGGAGTTAAGGATTTGGTAGAAAATAAGGGACTTTTAGTCTGGCATCTCTGCATATAAATATGCTCACAACAACCTAAATTTACCTATTAGTAACAACTTCAGGTGAAGAGATTTCCAGAACCCAAAGTTAGAAGAGGGTTCAAGTCCCAGGTCTACCACTTACTTTGGGATGTCAGTTCTGAATCTTGGATTCCTTATACAGAAAACCATTTTAAGAGCTCTCTTTTTCTGGTCCCATAATCTGCATGGCAAACTTGAAGAAAAAAATCACTTTTCCCTATTTCTGGATGCAATTAATTTTTGCCCTCTCTTCCTACAACATTATATGCTGGAAAACAAACCTCATATAACTCACTGATTACTTTCTAATTCCTTCTTTGCAGCTGGTGTCCTAGTAATTCTTTCCAGGCATAATGGTAAATGGACAGATCAGAGGGCTAACGAACCGTTAAATGTGGCATAATTACTCCTAAATACTCACTGCTTTAATTCTGAACTTTGCTCTCTACAATCAAGAGTTACTCTATTTTCTGACTTGTACTTAAAATGAGCTTTCCGTTTCTGATTTAAGAGTTCTGTCCTGCATTTTCCTTTAGAAATAATCTTCAAGGAACACAAAATCCAAAGCTACCTACACTTAGCTCAGCCTTATATAAATAATGTATATGCCATCATACTGAGGGTAGGGTAAGCCAACAGAGCCAAAATTCACCAGGTAAAGAGCCTACTTACTGATGCATGAGCAGGTATGGAGTTTAAACCTAAGACAGTGATCATAAACAAAGCAAGCAGTGGACAGTGGTTAAGATGTGTGTCTAGTCAACTGACAGGATGAAAAATCTAGCCACATCTACTAAATAAAGGGCAAATTTCACAACTATTTAGTATGAATCACATGATTTTGTTCCACTGGCATATTTTAAAATACAGACAAGATTTTGATAATTAGTGAACACCTAAGAAAAAGTCTCTGTTACTAAGAAATAAACGTTAAGGTGAAGGGGTACAATATGTCTAACACACCCTCAAACATGATTGGTTAATTCTAATTATGTGTGTAGTATGTGGTGAGAGGGAAGAGAGAGGAGGGCAGGAAAAATTAAGAGAAGGAAAAAGAGGGCAGGAAATGGGATTGTAAAGTAGGTGGAACAAAATGTAAACAATAAGAGAATATAGGCAAAAGGTACATGGCAGTTCCTTATAATTCTTTGTAACTTTCGATTTTGAAATTATAAAATATAGCCAACCTGCTATATTTGATTCTGCCTCTGTTGATTCAAACAATTGTGTATGAAAAATCTTTGGGAAGAAAATTACATGTACTTAATAACACATGTATTTGTTTTCCTTGTAACTACTTTCTATTTCAATTTTGTTGTATTTTTTTTTTTTTATGGTACTGTGGTTTGAACACTTGCTCAACAGTAGTTCTACCATTTTTGTCATACACTCCTGCCCTTATTATTTTCTAAACAATAAGCTAACAATTATGTAGCATTTCCATTATATTAGGTATTATAGGTAACCTACAGGTGGTTTAAAATACAAGGGAGAATATGCATGAGATTTGCAAATACTATGCCTCTTTGTACAAAGGACTCAATAATCTGTGGATTTTAGTATTAATGGTGGCTGGAGAATAGGGTCCTGGAAGTAACTTCTAACACAGAGGGACGACTATATGCTGTATATTTCAACATACAATGATTATAAGGAAACAGATATGCTATGTTAATTATATTCTAAGGCTTATACTCTAGATACATTATGTTTATCAAGGGAAAATAAGACTTCCTTTCAGATAATCCTGGGTGTGGATTTTCTTCCTACTTTCTTTTTTTTCGGTTGTGGGCCTTGAACTCTGAGCCTGTTTGCTATCCCTCAGCTCTTCAGCTCAAGGCTAGTGCTCTAACACTTGAGCCATGGCACCACTTCTGGTTTTCTGGTGGTTAATTGGAGCTAAGAGTCTCATGGATATTCCTGTCTGGGCTGGCTTTGAACTGTGATCCTTAGATCTCAGCCTCCTGGGTAGCTAGGATTATAGACATGAGCCACCAGTGCCCAGCTACCTACCTACTTTCTTAAAAGCAAAAAACTGCAGGGATGTTGGATAGTGCGACAAAGATGGTTCAAAGAGCCAAAGACCCATTATGAGGTAATACTAGTGTATTTAATTACACTCAAATAATATTATATTTGTTTTTTGGGTCTGGTCATGGGGCCTGAACTCTGGGCCTGGGTGCTATCCCTCAGCTCTTCAGCTCAAGGCTAGTGCTCTACCACTTGAGCCACAGCACCACTTCTGGCTTTTTTTCTTTTTGCTTATGTGGTGCCAGGGAATGGAACCCAGGGCCTCATGCATATAAGGCAAGCGCTCTACCACTGAGCCACCTTTCCAGCCCCAAATAATACTATATTTGTATGGCTCAAAATGATACCCTAAAGTTAAGTAATTTCCAGATTAAAGTTGAGTAATTTCTACAGATTTCTACAGAATTAAATCTAAAGTAAGATTTTCAAAATGCATTATTTCAAGTTAATCATCAAAAAGTAGATACGAATATGGTATGATGTTGATCTATACTGATCCTCTGTACTATACAGCAGAGACCAAATAAAGGAATGAATATGAAAAATGGTTGAATGCTTATTTTGCTTAAAACTATTATACTATATCTGCTTGTGAAATGCACATGTGCTTATTAACATATTCCTGAATGTAGTAAGATGAAAACTCACTAAACAGGAATCATTAATCTCCTTGTCACTTTAAATAAAATATACAAGCTTATCTTACTTAAAATAAAAAGTGCCTTTTTTGAAGGTTATAAAACCTTTGCTTGAGAATAAATTTGGTTCAACTTACCTTTGTCTGTTCTTTTCTAAGTTGCTTTAATAATGTTAAATCATCCAAATTCTTTTCTCTCTCTTCTCGGAGGTGTTTTACTACTGCTGAGGTCTGCGCTATGCAACTTTTTATAACTTTGTCCCTACTGGCATGAGCTGACATCAACTAAAAGAAGGAATAAAATGGGGAAAAGAAATCACATCAGTTCATCACATTTTGAAATTTAAAAATCCTGACTGAAACTTCAGAAATTAATATTTTCTAAAACAATTTTTAAAAACCGAATGCACAGTTGAGAAGACTGTGTTGAATCTACTAAACCACCTTAAAACAGATAAAAAGTGGTAGTGCCTACGAAGTCTGAATGTTTTTTCCTCCATACACTTCCAGTAGTTAGCTGTGGTGCCCTTGCTAGATTTTTACTTCAGACTCCTTTGGCCACTGTTGCTGTCTACGCTCATATTTAGGTGTTCTTGTATCCTGCATCTACCCACTCCTTGGGGCACTTATTACTATTCCTCCTCTCTTTTTAATCCATTCAATTTTTTTTTTTTAGTCTTATACTGTCAACAGGAAAAGAGATTAAGTGATTTGGAGATCTTAGTTACAATAAAAACTGTTTTATGTAAGCATGGCTGGGCCCTACTGGTTCATGCCTATAACCTTAGCTACTTGGAATGCTGAAAATAGGGAGGATCATGGTTTGAGGCCAGTTCAGGCAAAAAATTTCTGAGATTCCAATAGCTGGTTGCAATGGTCTACACCTGACACCCTAAACTATGTGAGAAGCCTAGTTTGGGACGACTGAGGTTTCAGGGTATCCTAGGCAGAAAAGTCTGTTAAGAATCCATCTCATGGTTTAGGAGTGATGGGTGACAATGTTGTTAGAAACCTTGTATTCATATATTGTTTTGTAGAATGGGAACTTCTTTGTACAATTACTTATAGATAATAATAAAAGAATCCACCTCAATGGAAAGAAGCTGGTCATGGTTGCCTGTCTCCTCAGGTAGGGCAGGAAGCATAAAATAGGGGAGTTAAGGTATAGGCACATGCCTAGATAGGAAGTACGATCCCATAAAAAATAACCAGTACAAGCTGGGTGCCAGTGGCTCACACCTATAATCCTAGCTACTCAAGAGGCTGAGACCTGAAGGACTTTTGGATAAAGTCAACCTGAGCAGAAAAGTCCAGGTGACTCCATCTCTAAAACAACCATGAAAAAGATGACTTGGTGGCACAGCTCAAGTAGTAGAGTGCCAACTAAGCAAGTATAATGACCTGAGTGCAAACTGGTACCATCAAAAAATAAAGGAGGGAAGGAGGAAGGTCGGACAAGTGAGTCAGCAATACAGTGCCTGCTGGGTAACCATTAGGCTCTGAGATCAAGTCTACTATCCCCTCCAAAAGAAGGGAACATACAGGAAACACAGATTAGTACTTGTGACAATTGTGTGTGGTGACTGAAAGTAAGGATATCTGACAAATCTCTTTCATAACCTCCACCTGTTAAACCAAATTAACGAAATATTTATCATCTTTTTCTTTTCTTTTTCAGTCATGGGGCTTGAACTCTGGGCTTGGGCGCTATCCCTCAGCTCTTCAGCTCAAGGTGAGCACTCTACCACTTGAGCCACAGCGCCACAGTGGTTTATTGGAGATAAGAGTCTCACAGACTTTCCTGCCCGGCTGGCTTTGAACTGAGATCCTCAGATCTCAGTCTCCTGAGTAGCTAGGATTACAGGTGTGAGTCACCGGCACCTGGTTTCTTTTTTTTTTTTTTTTAAACCAAGGTATAATGGTCTTTTTTTCAAGCACACTCCCATGATCACAGACAAATTTCTTTCTCTGTTTTATTATAGTCAGATTTGCAGATACCTCAAACATTTGTATTTGTAAAGGGCAGTTTTGAGTTTGTAGATTTGTTTGGTAATGACATTTTATGTTTATGTTGGGATAAAGACCGTAAAGCTAAGATTTTAAGGGTATGTGATGTGATGTGATATGTTGGGAGAATCTAGCTCACTGAAATTCCTTTACATTTTCTATGAGTATAGTTTTGATATTTGGAATTTCTAGAACTCATGCTTCATAGTAACTTTATATATCAACTCCTATGATGAACACTAGCTCAGGGACTAAGCAAGTCAGGGAGACTGAACAACCTGGATATTTCATAGATTTCTCAACTAGGACAATACTTAGTAGAACTCAATGGTACTTACTAGTTGGGCACTTTGCAAGCCCAATCTGAAATAAATAATAATGGTGGCTATTACTATTATTGTATATAAAAATAAAACTTAGTACAGTAAGCATTTTATATTTTCTTACTTATTACCCTGATTATCCTACAAATGACTACCATACTACTTACAAGTAAGGAAACAGAGGCAGAGATTATATAACATGTTCAAGGTCACCTACGTAGGACATAGCAAAGCTGAGATTTAATATACTTCTGGAATCCATGTTGTAAATCATGATACTATAGACCTCTACCTTATTAGAAAGATAACAAAAATGAAGTGAGCTGTCAACCTTAAGAGTATATTTCACCTTGTGCACAAAGTCTCCTTCTTAAGTTAAAAACAAAGAGGCTAAAAAATGATTCCTCTTATTTCTCAAACTATCACTTCACAGATTTATCCATGAGATCCAACTTTGTTTCAGTTTGTAGAACCTGTTCTAACTTTTTAGAACAGGTAGGCAAGGAACCATTAAGTGTTTATTCACAATTTAGATATATGTCAAAGGATTTCTTATTTTCCCTGCAAAGAAAGGCATAAAATAAGCACAAAAGTGAGACTCAAAAGATACACTTACAGACTCATAAAGTTGTTTACAGGTTTGGCTGGCATCAATTTTCCCTGCAAAGGAAGCTGTTGGGACCGTCGTGTTTAATTCATGTACTATTCTGTCATCAATTGTCCTCATCACCTTGAGTAATTCCTATATATATTTAAAATAAAAGACTATTACCTGAACAATATGTTCAATGATAAAAAAAATATTTAAGCAAAAAATAAAGTCTTGGATATTTCACAATCCTTTCTATTTAGAAGTGAGGAAACAAAGCCAAATATAGTACATTCATAAGAAAATCTTTATTACAAAGATAGGTAAATTATGTATTAATAACTCTAACAGTGGGCACCAACTCTTTGTGGTTCAGCTGTGACCATCTTTACATTTAAGACTGCTCTGCTCATATTTAAATTCCATTTGCTGACATGGTGTTTAGCAAACAGTATGTTTTTCCTATTCCACCCTATAGCTTAAATGGCTTCTCATGAACTTAATTATTACACATTCTCCATAAACACTGGCATAACTGTTTGCTCTATTTCCTCTTACCTATCATTACAAAATACATTGAAAAACATACAAAAAGCTATTACTAGTAGTTAGTAGGAAACTGTCCAAAATTCTAATGTAATCTAGGTTTTCATTTGATACTTTTTTCCTATGATAGTATTATTGTTAAATTTTATTTTATTGTAAAGATGCTGTACAGAGAGGTTACAGTTACATGAGTAAAGTAATGAGTACATTTCTTGTCGAACATTGTTACCCCCTCCTTTTTCTCCTACTATCCCTTCCCTCCCACACCTCCCCCGTTACATGACCCCACCAAGTTGTAAAGTTCATTTCCAACATAGTGTCTTGTGAGTTATCATTGTTGCAATGGGTCATTCTGTGTCCTTGTTTCAGCATTTTGTCATTCCCCTTTCCTCCCAAATTAGATATATGTATATACAAGATGCAGGGTACCAAAATCAAATACAGTGACAACAGGGATATACCATGGGGGGAAAGAACATACAAAAGAAACAAAAAAAAAATCACATAGTACATCAAAAACAACAACGACAAAGAAAAACTTCTTGTGTCCGTATCTTGGGGTTCATTTTGCTTAGCATGATCTTATATGGTCATATGTACATAGCTTTTGAGCTTTTCTGTTCATCTGCTAAGATTATCCTAGAAGTATACTAATTATCGCAAATAAGGGAAACCACGGAACCTGTTTTTCTTTGGGTCTGGCTTACTTCAGTTAATATGATTTTTTCCAAGTCTTTCTACATCCTAACAAATGGGGCGATGTCATTCTTTCTGATGGAAGCATAGGACTTGTGTGTGTGTTTGTGTGTATTTTTTTCTTGATACATTCATCTACTAAGGGGCATCTGGGTTGGTGCCGTATCTTAGCTATGGTGAATAATGCTGTGATAAACATAGTTGTGCTAGTAGCTTTAGAATGACCTTGTTTGTGATCATTTGGGTAAAATGCCCAGAAATGGGCTGGGTCACAGAGGAACTCTATGTGTGAAAAGTTTAAAAACCTGAAAAAGGAAATTAAAACAGAACTAGGGAAGCGGAAAAACCTCCCATGCTCCTGGACTGGGAAGATTAGCATTGTGAAAATGGCAATACTGCCACAGGCCATCTACAAATTTAATGCAATACCCATCAATATCCCAACTTCATTCTTCAATGAAATAGAAGAATCCAAAAATTCATATGCAACAATAAAAGACCCCAAATACTAAAAACAATCCTTAGCAGAAAGAACAGTGTTGGAGGAATACCGATATCAAACTTCAAACCCTTCTACAAAGCCATATTAACCAAAACAGCTTGGTACTAGCACAAGAACCGAACTGAGGACCAATGGAATAGAACTGAAGACCCAGAAATGAACCCACAGACCTACAGCCACCTAATCTTTGACAAGGGAGCTAAAAAAATTAAATGGAAGAAAGACAGCCTCTTCGGCAAACAGTGCTGGCAAAATTGGTTAAATACCGTAGAAATACTAAAGTTAGATCCTTATAAACCACCCTGTACCAAAATCAAGTCTAAATAGATCAAAGACCTCAAAGTAAAAGCAGACAACCTGAAAACATTACATGAAGGAATAGGAGAAACTCTAGGTCTCCTTGGCACAGGCTGAAATTTTCTTAATAAAGACCCAGAAACAACCAATCAAAGAAAGGTTGGACAAATGGGATTGCATGAAACTGCAGAGCTTCTGCACAGCAAAGGACATAGCTAGCAGGATCAATACAAAGCCCACAGATTGGGAGAAGATCTTCACTAGCCATACAACAGACAAAATATAGTAAGAACTAAAATATACTTAGAACTCAAAATAAATCCCCCAAAACAAAACCTCAAAGGAACAACTGCCCCATTAATAAGTGGGCTAAAGACTTAGAGAAACTTCTCTGAAGAGGAAATAAGAATGGCCAGTAGACATATGAAGAAATGCTAATCAAAACAACATTGAGATTCCAATTCATCCTAGTTAGGAGAGCTATAATCAAAAAATCTAATAATGACAGATGCTGGAGAAGATATGGCCAAAAGGGAACCCTACTGCATTGTCAGTGAGAATGTAAACTTATTGAACCGCTTTAGAAAGCAATATGGAGGTTCCTCAAAAGCTAGTATTATTTTTGTGATTAAAAAAACTAAAACAAAACATACTGCCAGGAAAGAAATAAAACTTCATTAGTTTTCTTATTCATAGAACAAGTAGGAATTATCTAGTAACCCTTTCTAGCTTACATTTCACAAGCCTCTCCATAAGAAGCCAATAACTCTTTAATGAGGGGGTAGGGAAACAGGGAGAGAAAAGAAAAATAATGCCTAAAAGGCAGGAAACTTAAGATCGCTGAGTGGCTGGGGGTTTAGCTAAGTAGTAGAACATATGCTAGGGCTCTGTGTTCCACCTCTGGGAGAGAAGGAATAAAGAAGGTAGAAACGAAGGAAAGAAAAGGAGGCAGACAAATATTTGAACAGCACAGCTTCTTCTTCCCAAATTAAGACCGGAATACTAAAGACTGGGCACTAGCTACATTCTGCAGTTAACATAAACTCTGGGATAGAAATTTAACATTATGCCCCTCCTTTTTTGATGGTTCCTTAAATTTATAAACAACAAGGGCTGAGGGCATAGCTCAAAGGGTACAGCACCAGCCTAGAAACAGTAAGGCCTTCAGTTTAAACCCCTGCACCATCAACAAACAGCAAACAAACAAAATAAAAACAATTCAAGTTCATTGAAAAAAAAATCAAGAAAACAGATCTGCATTAAGCTAGGAACATAATTACTATTGAAAACATCCAAGTTAACATTTGTTATTAATATGTATAAAAGCAGATTTGCTTGACTGTAGCTGTTAACATACCATTCTATTTCTTTGATTAAACAAATCCATAACTGAAACTAATTCCTTCCATTTCTTATTTACTAAGATTAAAGTATTACTTTCATTTCAGAAAAATTAGAAAAGTTTTAGATAAAAATTATCCGAAGTTAATTATTATCAATATATTAACAGATATCCTTTGTTTTTTTTTTGCACATTGCAAATATTCTATCCTGTGAAGCTACTACAAAGTGTTTACAATTATTACCATTTAGTCCATTCAATTTAAGACTGTAATTAATCTTTAATTACTGACTGGAATGGCCTTTGCAAATTCTTACAAAAAAGCTTGTAATTCAGACTAACAAAACTCAAGCAAGCCCAGCACCAGTGGCTCACATTTGTGATCCTAGATACACAGGAAGCTGAGATCTGAAGACCATGGTTCAAAGCCAGCCTGGCAGGAAAGTCTGTGATACTCTTACCTCAAATTAACCACCAGAAAAACCAGAAGTGGCACCATGGCTCAAAGTGGTAGAGCACTAACTAGTCTTGAGCAAAAAGAGCTCAGGGACAGAGCCCAGACCCTAAGTTCAAGCCCTATGTGTGCCGGGGGTGGAGGAGATGAGGAGAGGTGGAAACAAACTCAAGCAAGTGGGGATCTAACACAAACTTTGTCTCCCTTTCCTGAATCTTTCTGGTTTTATTGATAGTATTTTCTGTAAGCTGGAATTCTTAAGGTGATAGTCCAAATATATACAATGTCCATAAATGGGGAGGGGTGAGGAAAAAAAACACAATGATTAGGTTTGAAGCTTAGGTAATTGATTAGGATCATAAAAGACAGAGGAAGGAAAAGATTTGGAAGGAATGGGAAGATCTAGTTCTCTCCTGACTCACAGAACCTTTGACAATATTGCGAATTATTATTAACTGTATCAATGGAATTGTTTAAAATGGTAATCTTTCAGAGTCTGTAATATTCACAAAGAAAAAAAAAGGTGATTCCCATAATATACTTTGAAATACTGTTGTTAGGGTGGGTCAAGTGGCAGTAGACTGTACTGTTGAAACAAGAATGATGGTGAATTATTGGAGCTAGGGGCTGAGTACTTGGAGGATCAGGATATTGGTGCCCTTTTAGTATGTGTCAAAGAAATATAAGCATGCACACGTGTTCTAAAAAGTTCAGTTTGGAACTTAAGTAAGCAACTTGTTAAGCAAAGCAAAAAAATGTACTATCAGACATTAATCAGGATAGAATTATATGAACAAATTGGTTTTGCCTCAAGCCATGACACTAGAAGAGAGCACTAGGAGATCAATGGGAACTTTTACATTTCAAAATACAGGAAAAGAACTGTATTATCACAAAAATTAGAGGCAAGGTTTAAATGAGGGGAAGTAAAGTTGAATGTTAATAAGAATCACACGTAGTTTGACCTTGATAAGAGCTATTTAAATACAATGTTAAATGGGCTGAAAAGTTAATGTGGATTCAGTTTAAAAAAAAAAAGAGTAAGGCACAAATGTGTAAGACAAGGCCTACTACTATATTATGTAATAGGATTTCAGTATTTCCTAAAAACACCAAAAGTTTTAACAATCTTGTGGTTACATGATCAGATTTGTGTCTTAACAATGACTGCTTAAGTTAAAGTGTGGAAAATGGACTGGAGAATGAAAGAGTAGAATTGAAAGTATCAGAAGACCAAGGTAGCAATCTAGGTGAAAGATGACACAGCTTAACCTTTCCTAGGGTTTTACTGACTCTGAACTTTAACCAGTTTTTGA